ATGATTTTGAACATTCTTCAGTTTTAAACATATTCGATTCCCTAATTTTGGATTTACTAGAAAATTGAAGTCTAAAAATTAAAAATTTTACTCGTTATATAAATTGATCCAAGAAGATTACAAGAAAATGATTAATCTCTACCCCTCATGGGTTTCCTGTGGAAAACTAAATGATGTTACTTCCGGCTCACTGGGGGGCAGGCTAGAGAGTAACTTTTTTTTATTATCTTTTTTGTGATTTTTTTTGCGATAGTTTTGACATTTGATGAAGTTATATAAATGAATCAAGCAATAATCAAATTCAACTAAATCATCTTGAATTGTAATTCAAACAGATTTGTTTTAAAAGTCATTAAAGGGTGCTCAAGATTTCCATGCAAGTCATTTCTTGGAATGGAGAAATGTTGCATCATAATAAATATGACCAAACCTGTTTGGACAGATATAGCAGGGAAATGCCCTTTTTCATAATAACGTGTAGTGCTTGCATGTATCGTGTTTGGATATATGGTATATATGTCATGACTTGAGAAGATTGCTCATGTGCATTTTATTTGATCAGTCACTCTACAGCACTCTGATCCCCTTTGGTGACCACAATCCTTAGCGCTTAAACAATAGAATGTTTTGAGTTGACGTCATAATGAAATAGGACCTCATTTCTTGTTTTACCATTGCGATAATGTCCGGGATGGCACTCCCTTAAAATATGAGTAGAGTAGTAGGGTCTGAAATGCACAGTCAGGCCAGTAGGCTGACTTGAAATGGGGGGGTGGGGTGGTGCGGGGTTCGTTTTTTTCATAATGCGGACCTAAACTAAATGTTTAACTGACCTAACTAAATTAGTTCAATGCACAGTATAATGTGTAAGAACTGGCTACTAGAATAAGCAGTTCATAATACATTTTGACTCTAAAAAACAGTTCATAACAAAAGAATTTTAAATTTGAACACAAAAAAGAGGAACACCGGGCCTTTTATCTTAGACTATGGGCCTTGTGTTTCCATTTTATATTTGAACCCCATAGAATGACGGACAAAATGAAGTGAATAGTAATGTGATGTAATACGCATACTCACAATTGATGATTATCTTCATTGTAGATAAAAGCTATTTTAAAAACACTCATCAGAATGTGTACACAAAACATTCAATGAAAAGAGCATACTTACAATCGAACCCATAAATAAGTGTTACTAAGGAATGTTTCATGAAACTATTATCTCAACGAAATATGAATTACCATCGCAATAAACTCATAATATAAGGTCTAAAGGAATAATTCCTATTGACTTCAATGTTTTTCCATCAAAAATCATACATGAAAACTTCGCTGAAAGTTGTATAGTAATACCCTACACTTGGAACATCATACAAAATTAAAAATCCCGGGGGTGGGGGGGGGAATACTCCCATATATTTGCTATACGGGGACGTGCCGCTGGCCAGGGTGTGGTTTTTGGCCTTGCTGTCTTAAACAGGGTATACATTTCACCCGAAATTGTCTTAAACAGGCTCTACAATTTAGATAAAAGACCGATATAATTTTTTTTTTAATATTTTCATAAGAAATACCGTAGAAATACCGTTTCACTGTCCCAGGATTAACGTGTTATCAAAAATTTCT